CGGAAGACAATTAAAATATTCCAAGTACAAAATACAAGTAAAAAAAGGGATCGCCCGAACAGGGCCTCGAACCTTGGACCGTTAGGTTAAAATCCTAACGCTCTACCGACTGAGCTATCCGGGCTCATTCCGTTTGTGCCGATAAACAGATAAAATATTATAAGTATAAAATAGAAGAAAGAGAAAGAATCGCCCGATCGCGGAAGACAGATAAAATATTCCAAGTATAAAATACAAGTAAAAAAAGAGATCGCCCGAACAGGGACCGAACCCTGGACCGTTAGGTTAAAAGCCTAACGCTCTACCGACTGAGCTATCCGGGCTCATTCCGTTTGTGCCGATAAACAGATAAAATATTATAAGTATAAAATAGAAGTAAGAAAAATAATCGCCCGATCGCGGAAGACAGATAAAATATTCCAAGTAAAAAAAGGGATCGAACGAATAGGGACTCGAACCCTGGACCGTTAGGTTAAAAGCCTAACGCTCTACCGACTGAGCTATCCGGGCTCATTTCGTTTGCGCCGATAAACAGATAAAATATTATAAGTATAAAATGGAAGTAAGAAAAACAATCGCCCGATCGCGGAAGACTGATAAAATATTCCAAGTGTAAAATACAAGTAAAAAAAGGGATCGCCCGAGCAGGGACTCGAACCCTGGACCGTTAGGTTAAAAAGCCAAACGCTCTACCGACTGAGCTATCCGGGCTCATTCCGTTTGTGCCGATAAACAGATAAAATATTATAAGTACAAAATAGAAGTAAGAAAATTAATCGCCCGATCGCAGAAGACAGATAAAATATTCCAAGTATAAAATACAAGTAAAAAAAGGGATCGAATGAACAGGAACTCGAACCCTGGACCGTCAGGTTAAAAGTCTAACGCTCTACCGACTGAGCTGTCTGGGCTCATTCCATTTGTGAAGATAAACAGATAAAATATTATAAGTATAAAATAGAAGTAAGAAAAATAATCGCCCGATCGCGGAAGACAGATAAAATATTCCAAGTATAAAATACAAGGTAAAAAAGTGATCGCCCAAACAGGGACTCGAACCCTGGCCCGTCAGGTTAAAAGCCTAACGCACTACCGACTGAGCTGTCTGGGCTCATTCCGTTTGTGAAGATAAACAGATAAAATATTATAAGTATAAAATAGAAGTAAGAAAAATAATCACCCGATCGCGGAAGACAGATAATATATTCCAAGTATAAAAAGGGATCGCCCGAACAAGGACTCGAACCCTGGACAGTTAGGTTAAACACCCAACGCTCTACCGATTGAGCTATCCTGGCACATTCCGTTTGTGGCGATAAACAGATAAAATATTATAAGTATAAAATAGAAGTAAGAAAAATAATCGCCCGATGGCGGAAGACAGATAAAATATTCCAAGTGAAAAATTCAAGTAAAAAAAAGGGTTCGCCCGAACAGGGACTCAGACAGTTAGGTTAAAAGCCTAACGCTCTAGCGACTGAGCTAACCGGGCTCATTCCGTTTGTGCCGATAAACAGATAAAATATTATAAGTATAAAATAGAAGAATAAAAAATAATCACCCGATCGCGAAAGACAGATAAAATATTCCAAGTATAAAATACAAGTAAAAAAGGGATTCGCCCGAACAGGGACTCGAACCCTGGACCGTTAGGTTAAAAATCTAACGCTCTACCGACTGAGCTATCCGGGCTCATTCCGTTTGTGCCGATAAACAGATAAAATATTATAAGTATAAAATAGAAGTAAGAAAAATAATCGCCCGATCGCGGAAGACAGATAAAATATTCCAAGTATAAAAAGAAATCGCCCGAACAGGGACTTGAACCCTGAACCGTTAGGTTAAAAGCCTAACGCTCTACCGACTGAGCTATCCGGGCTCATTCCGTTTGTGCCGATTAACAGATAAAATAATATAAGTATAAAATAGAAGTAAGAAAAATAAACGCCCGATCGCGGAAGACAAATAAAATATTCCAAATACAAAATACAAGTAAAAAAAGGGATCGCCCAAACAGGGCTTCGAACCCTGTACCGTTAGGTTAAAATCCTAACGCTCAACCGACTGAGCTATCCGGGGTCATTCCGTTTTTGCCGATAAACAGATAAAATATTATAAGTATAAAATAGAAGTAAGAAAAATAATCGCCCGATCGCGGAAGACAGATAAAATATTCCAAGTACAAAATACAAGTAAAAAAATGGATCGCCCGAACAGGGCCTCGAACCCTGGACCGTTAGGTTAAAATCCTAACGCTCTACCGACAGAGCTATCCGGGCTCATTCCGTTCGTTCCGATAAACAGATATAATATTATAAGTATAAAATAGAAGTAAGAAAATTAATCGCCCGATCGCGGAGGACAGATAAAATATTCCAAGTACAAAATACAAGTTAAAAAAGGGATCGCCCGAACAGGGCCTCGAACCCTGGACCGTTAGGTTAAAATCCTAACGCTCTACCGACTGAGCTATCCGGGCTCATTCCGTTTGTGCCGATAAACAGATAAAATATTATAAGTATAAAATAAAAGTAAGAAAAATAATTGCCAGATCGCGGAAGACGGATAAAATATTCCAAGTATAAAATACAAGTAAAAAAAGGGATCGCCCGAACAGGGACTCGAACCCTGGACCGTTAGGTTAAAAAGCCAAACGCTCTACCGACTGAGCTATCCGGGCTCATTCCGTTTGCGCCGATAAACAGATAAAATATTATAAGTATAAAATAGAAGTAAGAAAATTAATCGCCCGATCGCAGAAGACAGATAAAATATTCCAAGTATAAAATACAAGTAAAAAAAGGGATCACCCGCTCGAAACCTGGACAGTTAGGTTAAAAGCCTAACGCTCTACCGACTGAGCTATCCAGGCTCATTCCTTTTGTGCCGATAAACAGATAAAATATTATAAGTATAAAATAGAAGTAAGAAAAATAATGGCCCGATCGCGGAAGACAGATAAAATATTCCAAGTAAAAAATACAAGTAAAAAAAGGGATCGAACGAATAGGGACTCGAACCCTGGACCGTTAGGTTAAAAGCCTAACGCTCTACCGACTGAACTATCAGGGCTCATTTCGTTTGTGCCGATAAACAGATAAAATATTATAAGTATAAAATGGAAGTAAGAAAAATAATCGCCCGATCGCGGAAGACTGATAAAATATTCCAAGTGTAAAATACAAGTTAAAAAAGGGATCGCCCGAGCAGGTACTCGAACCCTGGACCGTTAGGTTAAAAAGCCAAACGCTCTACCGACTGAGCTATCCGGGCTCATTCCGTTTGTGCCGATAAACAGATAAAATATTATAAGTATATAATAGAAGTTAGAAAATTAATCGCCCGATCGCGTAAGACAGATAAAATATTCCAAATATAAAATACAAGCAAAAAAAGGGATCGCCTGAACAGGGACTCGAACCCTGGATCGTTAGGTTAAAAGCCAACGCTCTACCGACTGAGCTATCCGAGCTCTTTCCGTTTGTGCCGATAAACAGATAAAATATTATAAGTATAAAATAGAAGTAAGAAAAATAATCGCCCGATCGCGTAAGACAGATAAAATATTCCAATTACAAAATACAAGTAAAAAATGGGATCGCCTGAACAGGGACTCGAACCCTGGATCGTTAGGTTAAAAGCCAACGCTCTACCGACTGAGCTATCCGAGCTAATTCCGTTTGTGCCGATAAACAGATAAAATATTATAAGTATAAAATAGAAGAAAGAGAAAGAATCGCCCGATCGCGGAAGACAGATAAAATATTCCAAGTATAAAATACAAGTAAAAAAAGGGATCGAATGAACAGGGACTCGAACCCTGAACCGTTAGATTAAAAGTCTAACGCTCTACCGACTGAGCTGTCTGGGCTCATTCCGTTTGTGACGATAAACAGATAAAATATTATAAGTATAAAATAGAAGTAAGAAAAATAATCGCCCGATCGCGGAAGACAAATAAAATATTCCAAGTACAAAATACAAGTAAAAAAAGGGATCGCCTGAACAGGGATTTGAACCCTGGACCGTTAGGTTAAAAGCCTAACGCTCTTCCGACTGAGCTATCCGGGCACATTCCGTTTGTGCCGATAAACAGATAAAATATTATAAGTATAAAATAGAAGTAGGAAAAATAATCGCCCGATCGCGGAAGACAGATAAAATATTCCAAGTATAAAAAGGGATCGCCTGACCAGGGACTCGAACCCTGGAGCTCAGTCGGTAGAGCGTTAGGCTTTTAACCTAACGGTCCCAGGATGGAGTCCCTGATAGGTCGATCCCTTTTTTTACGTGCATTTTTAACTTGAAATATTTTATCTGTCTACCGCGATCGGGCGATTCTTTTTCTTTCTTCTATTTTGTAGTCATAATATTTTATCTGTTTATCTGCACAAACGGAAAAAGCCCGGATAGCTCAGTCGGTAGAGCGTTCGGGTTTTAACCTAACGGTCCAGGGTTCGAATCCCTGTTCGGGCGATCCCATTTTTTACTTGTATTTCACACTTGGAATATTTTATCTGTCTTCCGTGAACGGGCGATTCTTTTTCTTACTTCTATTTTATACTTATAATATTTTATCTGTTTATCTGCACAAATGGAACAAGCCCGGATAGCTCAGTCGGTAGAGCGTTCGGGTTTTAACCTAAAGGTCCAGTGTTCGAATCCCTGTTCGGGGATCCCTTTTTTTACTTGTATTTTACACCTGGAATATTTTATTTGTCTTCCGCGAACGGGCGATTCTTTTTCTTACTTCTATTTTATACTTATAATATTTTATCTGTTTATCTGCACAAATGGAACAAGCCCGGATAGCTCAGTCGGTAGAGCGTCCGGGTTTTAACCTAACGGTGCAGTGTTCGAATCCCTGTTCGAGGATCCCTTTTTTACTTGTATTTTACACCTGGAATATTTTATTTGTCTTCCGCGAATGGGCGATTCTTTTTCTTACTTCTATTTTATACTTATAATATTTTATCTGTTTACCTGCACGAACGGATTAAGCCCGGATAGCTCAGTCGGTAGAGCATTAGGCTATTAATCTAACGGTCCAGGGCTCGAACCCTTGCTTGGGCGATCCCTTTTTTTACTTGTATTTTACACCTGGAATATTTTATCTGTCTTCCGCGATCGGGCGATTCTTTTTCTTACTTCAATTTTATACTTATAATATTTTATCTGCCTATCTGCACAAACGGAATAAGCCCCGATAGCTCAGTTTTGTAGAGCGTTAGGCTATTAACCTAACGGTCCAGGATTCGAGTCCCTGTACGGGCGATCCATTTTTTTACTTCTATTTTATACTTTGAATATTTTATCTGTCTTCGGCAATCGGGCGATCCATTTTTTTACTCCTATTTTATACTTGTAATATTTCATCTGTTTATCTGCTTAACCGGAATGATCCCGGATACCTCAGTCGGAAGAGCGCTAATCTTTTAACCTAACGGTGCAGGATTCGAGTCCGTGTTCGGGCGATTATTTTTTTTCTTCTATTTTATAATTATAATATTTTATCTGTTTATCTGCAATAAAGAAAAGATGCCGGTGAGCTTAGTCGGTAGAGCGTTAGGCTATTAACTTATCGGTGCAGGGATCAAGACCTTAACACATGGATATTATTTTACTTCTCTCTCCTATTCCTAATTTTTTTTCCCGTCTGAATTCTACGATTTTTTTCCCTCACTAGCAGTGAGAGCCCTCATATATTTATAGATATTGAGTTAGGCTATTATCCAAAAGGTACAGGGTTCGAGTCCCTGTACGGGAGAGTTTATTTTACTCCTCTCTTATATTCTTTTTTCCCGGAGGAGTTTTCAGTTTTTACTGTTCAAGCGCAATGGTCCCGAATTTCTCAGCCAGTAAAACGTTTGGTTTTAAAACTAAAGTTCCAGGGCTTGAGTCTCTGTTCGGTTGATTTTATTTTACTTCTCTGTCACATTCCTCTTTTTTTTGTTCTGAAAGTATTCTACGTTTTTTCTGTTCTAGCTGATAGAGTCCAATAGCTCAGTCGGTAGAGCGTTTGGTTTTTATTTTGACGATCTAGGGTTCGAATCCCTATTTTTTCTGATCCTATATTACTTTTTTTATCATATTTCCTTTTTTCCTCTTTCTCCACTTGCGGGTAGAGTGTTGACTTTTTACCTTACGGTCCAGGGTATGAGTCCTCGTCCGGAGGATTTTAATTTAATGATCCCTGAGGACTTAAGAAGCAATGCATATAATTCCTGTTTTCGTTAAAAAAAATTATGTGCAAGCTGTAAATACAATTAAATTTAAAAATTTAAATTTTTAAAATAAGGTTAGAGGAAATAAAATAATATTTTAAAGATCCCATTGATCTTCTACGTAGGCGAAATTTTTTTAAAGCTCTTTCAAGTAATATAATACAGTACAGAACCCGTTATCCGGAAATCAGAAAACCGGAAAACTAAAAAACCGTAACAAAATTCGATAAATTTTCTTGCCTTTTTAAAAACAATTTTTTTTCCTCGTAAGATTTTACGATTTTTCTTTCTTTTTTAAAGAGGTTTACCTTACCATCATTTTGGAAATAATCATTAGTGTATTACTTCATCGTTTTTTCTTATTTTTAAGATTATTTCCAATATTATTATTTTTTTATTTTGGTTTAACAATAAAAAAAACGGCTTTTTGTAGCGATTCAGAAAACCGGAAAAATCAGTTATCCGGAATAGCGATGGTCCCGACCGTTCCGGATAATCGGTTCCCTACTGTAGATAATGAAATACGATATATAATGAAATACAATAGATAAAGAAATACAGTCTTATATATTCTTTATTTTTGATTATGATAATCAAGACACAATACCTTAAATTATCTATTGGGGTGGTGCGATTTGCTTGAAAAAAGATTTCCGAGATTCATATAGTATTTCTCAATGTCTCCTCTAATAAAATAAAGATTCTATTTTTTTTTTTTTTTTTAAAGAAATTGAGTATGTGTTATTCTAAACACGTTATATTATATTTGCTTACAAACGCGTGTGTAATACACATGTTTGTTAAATGAAGAAAAAGAAATTACCTAAAATCCAGGAAAAGGAGGAAAGAAGGGATTTAAAAAAAATTTTTTTTTATAAATACATAATTCTGTTTTATCAGCAGTAGTAATCCCTCCACTAAAAACGAGTTTTTAACTTAATTATTTTTTACAAAGAATCAGACTCAAAAACTATTTGAAAAGCAATTGGAACTAGCAAAAGGAATTTCTAAATTTACGATTCTCCAGTGACTATAAGAAACATGTAAAGTGGGTGACTAGAGTTCTTTTTTTCGCTCTCCCTTCTGGACCGCCTCCCCCTGTGAACATAGATTGATGGACTTACAAGGGGTCGATGACACGTGATAAGGCCCTTTTCTTATGAAGTTAGAGACCCTCCATTACGTTTCAAAACCACAATCGGGAGCTTATTGGTCTTGTGACTTTTTAGAACTTGTTATTGATATTTGTGGTTTCTGAGGCAGTAATAAGGGAAAAACAAAGAGTTAGTTGAGAAGATATACACATATAGTGCATTAATTGTTATCACGGATTCTTAACTAATGTAAGCTAGGAAGATTCTGGTGCCTGTGGTACCAATGACAAATTTCAACAAGAGCCACTAGTTAAAAAAAAAAGATTCATTTGATATTTGAACAATTTAGCTCCTCGGAAATTAAAGATTTCTTGGTATGATATATTTGGCAAAAAATCTTACGATACACATTATTTGTAGCAGTTCAGGAAAATGATTGAAATTCGTTATCAATAAAATAAAGTAACACAATTTTTTAAAATTTTTTTCAAATGTACCAAACACCAGATTATTTTTTCAAATTGTATCGAAACAAAATCATAATTGCCTGTAGGCTTTGAGTTAAAAAAATTACGAAAATTAGCTAGTAAACCGTAGTTTGGGTGCTACTTCCAAAATGTTACTTTGTTAACATCTATTTATCAAGCGTCATTTTTAAACTTTACTTCAGCGTGATCCTCTATTACATGGAGCAATGGTAGCTGAGAGGATGGACTGTTTCTGGCCTCCTCTATCCTCTGTGACCCAGGTTCGAATCCCAATGGTGGCTGGTTGATACGAATTCTGTTCCCAGCTCTCACCGAACACAGTGCTGACGTAAAATATCCTCTGTGGCAGATAGATTATGAGTTAGAATCTCTTTGCTGTCGTTCAAACAGTGTGAGATTTTTGTGATTTCCTCTCCCTGTAGCACAAACACGGGTTAATTCCATAAAAAAGTCCTCCATGAAGGCTAGTTTGTCCCAATGCTTGGACCAGGAGTTCCCTTGTCTTCTGGGTTTTGTTCAAAATTACAAGGCTACGGATTTGAACATTGGTAGAACTCAGAATTGAGTCGGTTGTTCAGCGCTGGTCATAAAATGAAATGAAATATAAAACCTGTATTATATAATTGTTACAGAGTCATGTAATCATTCATAACTGAAAGATAAGAGCATTAAAAGAAACAAAGGCATATGTTTCAAAATGCTCTTATATTGATATTTTTTTTTTCCATCTAAACAAAATTTCTATTATTAGAGTTTCTTTTTTAATCAAAAATAATATCGATGAGAGAAACGAACAATTATTTTCATGCCTCAAATCTTTTGAAATTTTAATCGTCAATCTGTGTTATAATCGATTAAATAATATATGTTTATAGGATTTTAATCTCTGTTAAAAATGAAAAATAAAGTTTTGATATTGTATTCTTGATATTTTTTCAAAAAATGGAGAATATATTTACAGTGCATTGCAATGAAGTCCAACAAAATGAGTAAAAACGGATTAACATAGTTAAATAATCTATAATAATCTAAAACAGACCATCGTTTCTATGTCATTGAGTAGCTAAGAATGATGATGCTTTTCGTAGTATAAAAACAATTACAACAAATAATAGTGTTGCTTCTCATTGCATCCAAACAATTTTATTTTCTAATCGGCGTTGAACAGCCAACCCGATTCTGAGTTTACGACTATCAATGTGCAACTCCGTTGCCTTGTGATTGTGAACCCAAAAGACAAGGAAACTCCTGGATAAAGCATTGAGACAAACTGGCTTTCGTGGTGGAGCAACTTTTTGAGGGAATTAATCCACATTTGCGTTACATGGAGAGGAAAACACGAAAACCTCCGACGACATTTAGGCCGATGGTAAGGGGAGGATATTTTATGTCAGCATTGCGGTTAGTGAAAGTCGGGAGCAGAACTCGTACCAACCAGCCACCTCTGATATTCGAACCAGGGTTACCTCATTGCCAGGCGACTGCATTATTCCCTGAGTCACGGCGATTTATCTAAACAATAAATAAAAATAATTATTGTTATTTTTATAACAGATATGGTTAATGGTTATGGCATGGGCCATCAGTTTTAAATATAGATTACATATAGACATATAGAGTCACTTAGTGCTCCGTCCGATCGTACTCCGTCCGATCCGCTCCTACTAAGCTGTTTTAATCGATTTTTTTTTTTTTTTTTTTTTTTTTTTTTTTTTTTTTTTTTTTTTTTTTNTTTTTTTTTTTTTTTTTTTTTTTTGCGTTTATTTTATTTCCTTCCAGCTAGCCTAGACAGACGGGCTTAGTAAGTCTGTAGGGTTGTGAGATTCTTCTGGGTGGCGGCTGTGTGGTTTCCCGGTCCGACGGGCTGGATCCTGTGACCTCCGGGGTGCGAGGGTGATGTAATTTACGTGGGGGTCTTAAAAAGTCGTTAAACCTTTTGCGGGTCAACTGGCCACCTGCTGTTACCAAACTTATTACACAGCTCTCAATAACCATTTAAGTGTGGAATTTAATTTTAGAAAACTTCCACAGAGTGCGGAATTAAAATCAATCAGTGACATGCTTAAAAATTTGTGAAAAAACCTTATTAAATATAAATTTTAACTTGTTAAGTATTTTTAATAATAATTTGGACGTTTTACTGCATTCTGGTTCATAGATGAACTTAAAAAGTTGTTAGTTTTTCCATAATAATTAAATAGTATGTCGATAAAAAGGTAAAGAATTATTGAAATATGAAAATTAAATAAGTAAATAAAAAGGTGAAG